AATTTTTCGATTTTTCATTTTTTTGGTTTTACAATTTTTGATTTGCAATTTTCGATTACTCAGTTTCAAAATTTTTGATATACGAAACCGAAAAATCGGAAAATTGAAATCTGAAAAAAAATCAAAGTTGTGGAAAATCAAAAAATTGCAAAACGGTAAAATCGAAAAAAAATTGCAATTGAAAATTGAAAAATTGAAATTCTAAAATTTGAAAATCTAAAAATTGCAAATCAATAACTGTAAAATCAAAAAATAAAATTAGGAAAATTGAAAAAATGACATATAAAACATGTTGAACCTGAAAAATAGAAAAATAGAAAATTTAAATATGTAATGTAATGTAAATCAAAAAATTGTAGAACAGTGAAATTAAAGAAAACAAAAAATTCGAAAGGTAAAAAATTGAAATATTTAATTCTAAATACTCGAAAAATTAATGAAACGAAAAATTTGTCTTCTTTCCACTGTCAACGAAAATTACCTAGCGATTTTTTTGGTTTTGTTTCATCAATTTTTCAATTTTTCATTTTTTAAGATTCTCGATTTTTAATTTTTCAACATTTTAATTTGCAATTTCCGAATTAACAATTTTTCGTTTTTTCAATTTCGTGATATTCTTATTTTTCTGTTTTTCAGCTTCCCGATTTTTAATTTTTGGTCTCTGCTTTTTTGATTTGCAATTTTCGCTGTTTTGAAATCATTTGTGTAATTTTTCGATTTTGCAATTTTTTGATTTTCCAGTTCTCCGATTTGTAATTTTTCGATTTTTTAATTTCTATCAATTTGGTTTCGCTTTTTAGGTTTTTCGGTTTTTCAATTTCTCAATTTTGCAAGTTTTAATTGACAATTTCTCGATTTTTAATTTTTCGATTTTTAGATTTTTGATGTACGAAACCTAAAAATGGGAAAAATTGAAAATCTGAAAAATCAACAATCTGCGGAAAATCAAAAAACCGCAAAACGGTAAAATTGCACAAATTTTTTTCACTTTTAAGTTTTTAGATTATTCAATTTTCAATTTCAAGTTTTTGGATTTTTCAGAGTCTCTAGTTTTTAATTCTTCGATTTTACAATTTCTCGTGTCTTCAATTTCAAGATATTCTTATTTTTCGGTTTTTAATTTTTGGATTTTGCAATTTTCGCTGTTTTAATTTTCATTTCATCAATTTTTCGACTGATTTTTCTATTTTATAATTTTTTGATATTTCGGTTCTTCGATTTGCAATTTTTCGATTTACCAATTTCTATCAATTTGGTTTCGCTTTTAAGTTTTTCGGTTTTTCAATTTCTCAATTTTGCAAGTTTTAATTGACAATTTCTCGATTTTTAATTTTTCGTGTTTTAGATTTTTGATCTACGAAACCTAAAAATGGGAAAATTGAAAATCTGAAAAATCAACAATCTGGGGAAAATCAAAAAATTGCAAAACGGTAAAATTGCACAAATTTTTTTCACTTTTAAGTTTTTAGATTATTCAATTTTCAATTTCAAATTTTTGGATTTTTCAGAGTCTCTAGTTTTTAATTCTTCGATTTTACAATTTCTCGTGTTTTCAATTTCAAGATATTCTTATTTTCCGGTTTTTAATTTTTGGATTTTGCAATTTTCGCTGTTTTAATTTTCATTTCATCAATTTTTCGACTGATTTTTCTATTTTATAATTTTTTGATATTTCGGTTCTTCGATTTGCAATTTTTCGATTTACCAATTTCTATCAATTTGGTTTCGCTTTTTAAGTTTTTCGGTTTTTCAATTTCTCAATTTTGCAAGTTTTAATTGACAATTTCTCGATTTTTAATTTTTCGTGTTTTAGATTTTTGATCTACGAAACCTAAAAATGGGAAAATTGAAAATCTGAAAAATCACAATCTGCGGAAAATCATAAAACTGCAAAACGGTAAAATTGCACAAATTTTTTTCACTTTTAAGTTTTTAGATTATTCAATTTTCAATTTCAAATTTTGGATTTTTCAGAGTCTCTAGTTTTTAATTCTTCGATTTTACAATTTCTCGTGTTTTCAATTTCAAGATATTCTTATTTTTCGGTTTTTAATTTTTGGATTTTGCAATTTTCGCTGTTTTAATTTTCATTTCATCAATTTTTCGACTGATTTTTCTACTTTATAATTTTTTGATATTTCGGTTCTTCGATTTGCAATTTTTCGATTTACCAATTTCTATCAATTTGGTTTCGCTTTTAAGTTTTTCGGTTTTTCAATTTCTCAATTTTGCAAGTTTTAATTGACAATTTCTCGATTTTTAATTTTTCGTGTTTTAGATTTTTGATCTACGAAACCTAAAAATGGGAAAATTGAAAATCTGAAAAATCAACAATCTGGGGAAAATCAAGAAATTGCAAAACGGTAAAATTGTATTTGCAATTTTTGGATTTTTCGGTTCCCCAGTTTTTAATTTTTCGATTTTTAATTTTTGTACTACGAAACCGAAAAATGGAAAATTTGAAAATCTGAAAAATCAACGATCTAATTTGTGGAAAATCAAAAAATGGCAAAACGGTAAAATTTTAGTAAAAATTCGACACTTAAAAAATTGGACAATTGAAATGGTTAAGTCTGAATACTCGAAAAATTGGAGAAATGAAAAACCATAAATTAAAAAATAAAAAATTCAGAAACTGAAAAATTAAAATATGTATCTGAAAGTTGAAAATCGGAAACTGTAAAATACAATAACAAAAATAGGAAAATTGCAAAAATTAAATACTTATAAATATGTAGAAGTTGAAAAATCGAAAATTTCGAAAACCGAAAAATGGAAAATCAAAAAATTAAAAAATCGGAGAATGAAAAATCGAAAAATTCTAAATTTTAAGTTTAAAAAATCGAAAAATTGAAAAATCCAAAAATGGAAAAATCGAAAAACGAAACAACGAAAAATTGCAAGTAGAAAAATAGAATCACCCATATGGCAATTTTACTTAATAACTTTGTTCGGAAACCACGAACACCCTTTATTTTTCGAATCAGTCGTGCACATCAAGATATATTCTTGGAATTTTTTTGGATTTGTAGGCAAATTTTCGAAAAATTAGTTTTTCCAAATAAAATTTTAGACATTTTTTTCGACCATTTTCTAAAATTATTTACAGAGATTTTCGGTAGATTTCGACCCCCAGAAATTAATTTAGCCTTCACTTTATGGAAAATTCCTGCCATTTTTCTAGAATCGGCCATAGGAAATACGGCAATTTTTAGGATTTAGAAAAAAATCCCTTTGACTAGTTCGAAAACCTTGTTCCGGAACTATAAACACCCTATATTTTTCGATTGAGCAAGTTGAGATTTATATTCTAAATTTTTTGTGAATTTTTAGGCAACTTTAAAAAAAAACTTTTTTTTCAATACTCCCCCTTTATAAATTTTTTACCTTTTTTTTGACCACTTCGTAAAATACCTAAAGAGATTTTTTTGTAGATTCCGATCTCCAGATATCATTTTTCCAGAACCTACAAAATGGAATTTGACAATTTTGAAATAGTAAAATAAATTGAATTTTTTTCATTGTGTGACAAACAAAACTGTATTTAAAAAAAAATTGTTTTAAAATATCCATTATCTCGGTTTTTAAAAACACCCTAAACCCGGGCGACGTGTCGGTCATAATAACTCAAGTTGGAAAGTTTTCTAGAAGATTCTGTATTACAACCCTCCGCTTCGCCTCGGTTAAAACACACCTCCGTTATAAATTTTTATAAATATAACTCAATCCAAGTAAACTGTATTAAAAAGAAATCGTGCAATCCCGTTATCGCCATTAATCACACCTTATCATTATCACCCAAGGCCACGTCCAGTCACCACCGAGTCTACCCGACCCGTTCATACAAGTCCACCAGATTTCATCATCCGTCCCTCCTGGGTATATTTTCCTAACGGTAAACCGGCGCGTATTTTTTTCAATTTCACAAAATTTTCATCCATTTGAAAAGAAAATCTCCGTGTAGAACCAAAAACAACAGTTGTTGAGAGAAAAACAAAAAAATGGACAAGAGTTCCGTGGAAAAAACGTTGAGCTAACGTTGTATATAATTATGTACGTTGTTGCTACGGCTTCAATGCTGTGTTGGAAACGAGATTTTTGAAATGTAAAAGTAAAAAAAAAGTCAACGGTGCGTAACAAGCTGTCGTGATCCAGAATCGCATCGCCTTAGAGATAATTAGAAAAAACTGGAAGCTCGCCAACTTGATCATTTGTGGACTGTGTTATATTTGACAAGTGTGCTACAGGCATTAACAGCTCAATTCATCCAGGTTTTCCCGACACGAAATAAAGAACGTCTTTATTACGATTTTAGAAACTCGGGACACGGTTATCTCGACATCTTTTTTTTTTAAAGAAAGTTTTAACCAAACGAAAAACAACATCCAGAAAGTTCTCTGATAAGGAAACGTTTAAATATATTGTTTACTCGTTCAACAAAAAACGCAACCGCAAACCGATTTTAGACATCATCTGACTCTAGCGAGTTCTAGAAACCGGTTATAATTAAAGTACTTGTGCTAGAAGCGCCCTAGAAAAATGGAAATTTGTAATTAAATTACTCGGTACCCGCGAAACACAAATCCCAATTTTGTGCAACCGCGTTATCACTATTAATCACACCTTATCATTATCAAGGCCACGTCCAGTCACCACCGAGTCTACCCAGTCCTCCAAGTCCATCGGATTTCATCACCCGTTCCTCCTCAATCTGACGCAACACAAAGACAATTTTATGTAAATTGGAAATTTGCCCGCACGTGCTGATGTAACATTGTTTCGCGTTTCGCACCCCGGGCCCCGTTTCCTCCCCCGACTCCGGCTCTGCACAATTTCTCCCAAAACAAGCATCGTCCCAGTTTACTTTTTTCACAAAAAAAATCGCGTTCGTGTCCCAAACAAAGAAACATCAGTGTACGTGATGCGCCGACTTCGTCCGAACGCGCGTCGGGTCTTGTCGGCCCCCAAGTAGGGGACCCGTATATAAGCAAACGCCGGCAAAGTGTTCCTCAGTTGCAAGAAATCGGTTGTGTGGAGACAAACTCCCGTGTGATATTAGTGTAAAATGGAAGTTCTTCCGGCTACAGTTCTGGACTACAAGTCCCGGAGTCCCAAAGGAAGTCCGAAGACGCTGTTCGCGGAATGGTACTACGACCCGTCCAAGCAGGCGGAGGAGCTCGCCGGCGATTCGCCGGTGCAGTTCTTGTCGAAGAGACTCGAGGAGGAGATCCGCTCGGCGAAGAGAACTCATCTGTCGTGCGGCGAAGTCCTTCTCCCGTGCGGACTCCTCCAAAAGGTGGCGGAAGATGTATTAAAAAGCGCCGAAACGGAGCTGTACGGGCTGAAGGGGTGCACGTTGTATTTGTTATACGAAGGTGAAGAGGACTGCAGGAGGTTGAGTAATTTCAAGATCGACCCTACGACACCTTCTACCTTCGAAATATACCTAACCTTCAAGCAGGCGAACGCTGGATGGACTTTCCTGCCGCAATTCCTCAAGTAAGTCGGACGATTTTGATTTTGAAAGCCGTTTTTACAGTTGGTTTTTTTTGCAGAAAAATCACGAGGGGCGGCACGGTGGTCATCAGCACGGAGTACGAACTGACCAAGAAGAAGCTCTACCGTTTGAAGAAATAGACTGATCAGAGTAGGCTAAGAAAGCGCAGCGTGATTTAGGTTAGGTTTTGTTTTTTTATTTTGATTTTATTTTAACAGTATTACCTCGTCGAGGTGTTTTAATAATTGGATTCCGTTGGGAATCTGTGATTTCTGCCATCGTGATATGTGTTATAATAATACAATGATAATACGATGTACCTGTGTACTTAAAATGTTTCAAGTATTTTTAAATTTTATTTAAAGGTTACTGAAGCTTTTTTTCGATTACGTAATGTGTTTTGTTCTTGTGATATAGAGTAGATCGTTTGTTTCGACGTCAGTAAGACATGCATGATCGTACAAATCTTCAATTAACATGTATGTTAACATATATTTTTTAATGATGATGATGTTAAGAGTAAGAGGCTATAACATTTAGGTTGTAAGATATTTTATATACTTGTAGGTTTTTATAATGAGTAGATCTATTATAATCATAATAGTTTTTGCTACTTGTGTGATAGTACAGTATCTGTACAACTCTCAAGCTTTTGTACTATGAAAGAATAAAAAAGTACAAAATGAAATCGTGTTTGTTTGCTTTCTGTATGAAAAGTGTGTGTGTTTAATTAACTTTGAATAGAAAACGCTAATTGTCGTGGACTGACATACGGTTTCTCTTTCATTAACTTCCTGACTATTTTTAAAGCAAATTTTGAATAATGAATGACTCATCTTTAATTAACGAAAGTAATAATGACAACTCAGCGGTATTATTTATTCATAAAATCGAATATTCAAACAAAGTTTACAAATACGTATTGTGTGAAAGGTTCGCTAATATTCAACAAGCAGCAGCAGGGGAGGGGACGATGTTTATATATCACTATTTCAAGGTTAAGCCGGCCATTTAAGTCACCGAAATGTGGCTTACTAGATTCGTATAATTACAAGATAAAAATTATCATCAGTTCGGAAAGTTGTCAATTCAAACCAAAACTATCTAAATCAAGCCACCTAGCGGTGACGTCATCGGTTTTTGGAGGTATTAATGCAAATTTTGTTGGCGCTTGCCGCATTCACAGTGCCTTGACTTTAGACAATGCCTGCTAGATTATCTGTAATAAAATCGCGAACGAACGACAGATAAACATGAGGTATTTTCGTACTATGTATGCTGTGAACGAAACTGGCCTTTATTGCAATACTTTTAAGTTGTCGCTGCAGAAGCGGCTGAAATTCTTCTCGATTACGTGATTCATATTATTAATAAATTTATAAGGTGAACTTGAACGTCGTGAACAGGTTTGAATAATCCGAAAAAAGCAAAAAATTAACCGACTTGATTTTGTGGAAGGTTTAATAACGGATCAGTGTGAATCGAAAAACGTTTTTTGAGTGTCACGATGACTTATTTTGAAAGTTGACAATATTTAAATATTTACCGAAGAAGGTTCTAGAACGAGATTGTCATTGTAAAGAGGAAAACAGCATCAACATTACATAATGCGCAGAGTCAACATTTTCCGTATACTTCGACAAACAACAAAAAAAGAAAGCTTGATAAGATTACCAGAGGATCAAACAAATAGAGAATGAAACAAAAAGCTCGTAACTGGTGGAAAATTAGACGGAGTAGATGTCTTGTATAGCTTACAATGAGGATTAAAACGAACGTATAGGAGTTGTTTTTTGATAAAATTCAAATGGTGTTTACTATGCGAAATTTTGAAATGACGTCATTGAATTTTTGGTGAGGATGGCTGGACAAATTTTTCTTGGGGTTTTATCATCTACACGATATTCCTGAGATACATCTAAAATTGGACAACAATCGGTCCGGTGGTTTCGAAATTATCCGTTTAATATAATTCGACACATACGACACGACGGAAACGAGAAACCTACTGTTTCGTACTCTAGGAACAATGAAACGTCGAAGAAAACACGAAAGTAGTCGTTAGCGGGGTAGACCATAGTGCCTGCAATTCTTCCTTAGCTTAGGCTCCGGAACTAAAAATGTACAAATATTAAAAATAAAAAAGTGAATTTAAAAATATAAAAGTTTCGACGTTCCATCAATATTTTTTAATGTTTTAGTCAAAAAATAAAACAAGAGAGAGAAAGTTTTTGATTCTAAGAATCTACAAAGTTTGAAAAAACGGTTAAAAAATTATTTAAATTACTTTTCGGAATCGTATGTGCTAAATTAAACTGGAGGTTAAAAATTTAAGGCGGATTTATAAACCACAAATACAGAAGTATGTTATGTTATAAAATGCACTGTTTACTGACATTAAGGTGCAAATTTGACGACCATTTTACGATTTTTAGCTTATGTTCGAGAGACAAAAATTGACATTTACAAAAATTAAAAAAACTGAGTTTAATAATGTTCTGAAATGTAAAAGTTACAAATTTTGTTGAAGTCGTGCTATTTTTAAAAATAATTTTCTAAAGTTTTGGACCGCCTTTGAAAATTACATGGAGATTTTTTTTTGATTTCTAGAAATTATTTGTTTCCAATTCTACTTAAAGATTTTTTTAGTTTTTGTTTCATTAGTTTCGATTTTTCAATTTTTTTGTTTCTCGATTTTTAATTTTTCGATTTTACATTTTTTTCTTCGCAATTTTTGATTTTCCAAAGTTCATTTATTCAATTTTCTGATTTGGATACTTCGATTTTATAATTTAGCGATTTTTGGATTTTGGACATTTTTTTTTCGCTTTAAAGTTTTTCCGTTTTTTCATTTTTTGATTTGCAATTTCGATTTTTCAGTTTCTCCATTTTTAGTTTAAATTAAAAATCTAAATTAAAGAAAAAAATCAGCATGTGAAAAATTGAAATATTTAATTCTAAATACTCGAAAAATTTACCTTTTTTCGACTGTCGACTTACAGATTTTTTTTGTTTTTGTTTCATCAGTTTCGGTTTTTCAATTTTTTGGTTTCTCGATTTTTAATTTTCCAATTTTACCACTTTTGACTAGCAATTTTTGATTTTTCGGTTTTTCAGTTTCTCGATTTGTAATTTTTCGATTTTGCTAGTTTTGATTTGCAATTTTCACTGTTTTAATTTTTATTCCTTCAATTTTTCGACTGTAATTTTTTGATTTTCCAGTTCTCCGGTTTGCAATTTTTCGATTTTTCAATTTCTATAAATTTTTTCGCTTTTGAGTTTTTCGATTTTGCAAGTTTTGATTCTCAAATTTTCAATTTTTTTCTATTATTTAATTTTTGCTTTGTAATTTTTGCATTCTTCAGTTTTTCCAGTTTAGAACTTTTCCGTTTTCAAATTTTTGATCTACGAAACCAAAAAATGGAAAAACTGTAAAACGGTAAAATTGAAGAAAAAAGTTCAGCAATTGAAAAATTGGACAATTGAAATGCTTAAGTCTGAACACTCGAAAAATTGGAGAAACGAAAAATGGTAAATCAAAAATAAAAATTCGAACACTTAATACGTAATTGAACAATTAAAATATCTAAAAGTTGAAAATCGAAAAATGCAAATCAAAAATTGTAAAATCAAAAAATAAAAATGGGAAAATTGAAAAAAAGAAATTGAGCTTCAAAGCAACTACTTCAAAAATGAATATTGAAATTTTTCTTTTTAGAAAACTTCCAAAAATTCAATTTTCCTTATGAAATTTTAGACTTTTTTTCGGCCACTTTCTAAAATTATTTACCGACATTTTTCTAGAATCATCCAAATGAAATGTGGTGATTTTTAGGATTTAAAAAATGGCTTTCAAACATCCTATGTTTTTCGATTGAACAAGTTGAGATCTATATTCCAGATTTTTTTGTGAATTTTTAGGCAACTTTTCCAAAAAGCAATTTTTTCAATACTCCCGTTTACGAAATTTTTAACCTTTTTTTCTCTGAGTACTAAAAAATTTACCTTTTTTTCTAATGTCGTCGAAATTACCTAGAGATTTTTAGTTTCTCGATTTTTAATTTTTCAACTTTACAATTTTTGATTTGTAATTTTCGATTTTCCAATTTTTCAATTTCGACGGTTTTTAATTTTTCGATTGTACTATTTTTGATTTGCCATTTTCGGTGTTTTAATTTTCATCTTTACAATTTTTCGACTGTAATTTTTTGACTTTCCAGTTCTCCGATTTGAAATTTTTTGATTTCACAAGTTTTAAATTTTTTAATTGGTATACATTTTTTTGAATGAAACGTCGAGAAAACTGAAAGCAGTCGTTTGCGTGATGGACCATCAATTCCTCCATTTAAAATTAAAAAAACTTCTAAAATGTAAAAGTTTTGACGTTCCATCAACTCTTTTTGATGTTTTAATCAAAAAATAAAACAACAGAGAAAAATTTTGCTATACAATCCGAGTATTGCAAGACTTACGGTTTTTGTTTCTAAGAATCTAGAAAGTTCGAAAAAACAGTTACAAAAATTATTTAAATTCTTTTTCAGATTCTAAGTTCTAAATCAAACTGTGTTTTTTTTTTCAGAAAATGTAGATACTGAGGGTAAAAACTTGAGGCAGATTCATAAACCACAAATACAGGAGTATGTTATATTATAAAATTCAAATGGTATTTATTGTTCAAAATTATGAGGTGACGTCATCATTTTACGATTTTTAGCTTATGCTCGTGACGCAAAAATTGACAAATTTTAAAAATGAAAAAACTGAGTTTAATAAACTGAACTGTAAAAGTTACAAATTTTGTTGAAATTGTGCAATTTTTAACACAATTTTTATGAAAATTACATGAAGAGATTCTTTTTGATTCCCAAAAATTACTTTTTTTTAAATCCTTTAATTTTACATTTTTTTCTTTATAATTTTTTGATTTCTCAATTTTCATATCTTCAAATTTCCGGTTTTGATATTTTTGATTTGCAATTGTCGATTTTTAATTTTTCGATTTTTTAATTTTGGACATTTTTTTTTTTGCTTTCAAGTTTTTCGGTTTTTTCAATTTTTCGGTTTTTTAAATTTTTGATTTTCACAAGTGATATATCAAAAAATTAAAAATCTAAACTTTTACCTTCTTTCGACTACCTTTGAAATTACCTAGAGAATTTTTTATTTTCGTTTCATCAATTTTACGGTTTCTCGAGTTTTTCAACTTTACAATTTTTGATTTGCAATTTTCCAATTTCTCAATTTTTCAATTTCGAGATATTATTTTTCGGCTTTTCAGTTTCTCGCTTTTCAGTCTTTGGATTTTATAATTTTTCTATTTTTCACTCGATCCAGTTTTTCATTTGCAATTTTTTGATTTTCCAGTTCTTCAATTTGCAATTTTTCGATTTTTCAATTTCTATGCATTTTTTTGAATGAAACATCGAGAAAACTGAGAGTAGTCGTTTGCGTGATAGGCCTTCTGACGTTTCTTCAACTTTTTTATGTTTTGGTCAAAAAATAAATCAACAGAGAGAAAATTTTTACTATACAAGACTTGAGGAAGTTCGAAAAACGCCTAAAAAAATATTTAAATCGCTTTTCGCAATCTAAGTTGTAAAAAGCTGGTGTTTTTCTTACATAAAATCTGTATATTTAGGGTAAAAACTTAAGGCGGAATCATAAACCGCAAATATAAGAGTAAGTGAT